AGTCGACGGATGTAGAACCCAATAGGGAAAGTGTCAAAGTGTGCCCAGATGCCAAAAACTACTACAGTGTTACTGCCTCCAAGCACATTGTCCAGCTCATTGGCAATATAATGCAGCTCCATGGATGGGACACTGACAGTACGTAGAGGAGGACCATGGGCGCGGAACATCACAAAGATGTTATTTGCATAGTCCAGGGCCATTAAAGGTCCGACTGATTTGTGGCTATGAAGGTTAAACTCCTTTAGATCTAAAAGAATTCCAAAAGGAATAAGTTAAACTACATAAATAAAATAGTGTAAATAAAATATTGTTCTTTGCCAGAAAGGTTTGCAGAGCAGCTACCTGGTAGTGCTGCATTAAGGTACTCAAACCACTGCCTCATTGTGGAGTCTCCATACATATGGACCAGCTTTCCTTTCAGACACCGAGTGATGGCTGAGGAAGTGTTGAACTGATGAACGGTGGTCCCACCTAGTGCTCGCCACACACCCTGGTAGTAATAGCCAGACGGTTCAGACTCCACACTGCTGCTGTTCACCTCTAACTGACCTGGTAAGCAGTAAAACAGACAATTGTGTGTGTTTTTTACTTAATATGAAAAAGAAACAAACAAAGTCTATTCTTAACCTGTTTGTAGCAATAAAACTTGCAATAAAACAGCTGGTTAACCAGCTGGGATTCTGGGCACGACGCACAGCAGCGGCGCACGTCGGCCCAAATTCCCGGCCAATAGAATCGGGCCATTATGCGCTCCAGAGTTTTCTCACAACCCAAATGCCCTGCCATGGGGTTCGAATGAGCCGCCTGAAAAATCGTTTCCCGGCGGCTTTGCGACACCAACAACTGGGTGCGGATCTCATTAGTGTGAGTGTCGCGGCTCACTCGATAAAGCCGATCGTTCCGCAATTGGAAATGAGGGTAAGTCCGCGCAGCGTCAGGGCGCACCAAGCGACCATCAATATCTATCACTTGGTCATAGGCTGAGCATAGGGTGTCGTCCCGAGACTGCTCTAGTGGAAAATCTTCCGTGGGGTGCATAATGGGAGGCAGTGGGGCTTCTGTAGAAGTCCCGTCCACCTCCTCCCCCCCAGAGTCGGTGTCAGTCGACCCCACATCACTGCTCAGCGCCGCGCAAACATCACACGAATTTACAGACCGCGATCGCATCCCCGCGTACTGCCCCAATAAGCTGTGGAACCAATCCGTGCCCAAAATAAGGGGATGCGACAGGCGCGGGCTAACTGCCACCTTAACTCTATGCGTTTTGCCCCTGAATTTCAACAACAGCGACACAACCGGGTACTTGTGAATATCCCCATGCACACATTTCACCTCCACCCACTCTGCTTCCAACAATGCCCTGGGGCGAACCAAG